TAAAGCAAAGTCGGTTTGGGAGACAGAAGCTAACCGTAGCGAATTGGGTGACGCTCATGTTTGAATTTTTTTTTTTTTTTTTTTAAATTTGTGACAAACGGAATCAGAAATTTAAGGGCGGAAGAGAGATGATACAGAGAAAATTGTTCAAAAATCCGCGAGAGTAAATTTTTTTTAAAAGTAGTGTTATTTATACCCCTACTTTCTCTCTTCACAACCATTATTATTGATTTTTTTTTTTAACATTTCAAATTAAAATATTAATTTATTATAAAACTCGAACATCCTCAACAGCCTCTTTCTTTTTCACCAAAAGCTCTAGATCTTTTAGAGATTAAGGCCTAAATCAAACTTTAATCATTCATGCGATGTTAAATAAATTAAAATTATAAATAAATTATTTTTTTTTATGTTTTTCGTTTGAGTTTTGTATTTAATTGAAAAAAATTAAAAAATTTTAAGATGACAATTCGAGCATTAATACATTTTTTAAAAATGTTAAAAATTTTTAAAAATAAATTTTTAAAAATTTTTTTAACATATCAAAAATTCATTAATTTTTGAATAACTGTAATAATTTTTAAAAATGAATTTTTATTAGAATTAAAAAATTTTTGAAAATGAATTTATGATATGCTTTATTAGAATTCAAAAATTTATGATATGATAACTGTAATAAACTGAAATGTTATGCTTGGACTAGCATCTGATGGATTCAACCTGTTCAAAATGATGAGTACTTCTTATGGGACTTAGCTAGTTGTATTGATTCCTTACAATTTGTCACCATGGATTGCTATGAAGCAACAGTCATTTATATTATCTATGATAATTCTTGAAAAAAAAGGTCTGAGTAATGATATAGACATCTACTTACACCCTTTATTAAAGAGTTAAAGTAATTATGGGAAGGTGTTGAGATCTATGATGCATCAAAAAAAGAAAACTTCAATATACGTGCTGCTTTATTATGGACTATCAATGATTTTTTTGCTTATGCAAATTTATCTGATTAGAGTACAAAAGATCGTTATACTTGTCCATGTTGTGCTGCACAGACATGTTTGACGTGGTTACCTAATGGTAAAAAGTTCTGTTATATGGGATACTGTCGATGGTTAGATGATAATCATCGATTTAGATTTCAAAAATATCTCTTTGATGGAATTGAAAAGTTGAAGAGATCGTCTTTACCCATTGGTGGGTCTAATATCTTGTCAAAGTTAAAAGATATCAATTTCGCTTATGAAAAAATGACTCCATCAAAGAAAAGAGTGAAGGATATCTTTGAAGTTGGTGATAGTCATACACAGAAGTTGGTGATCTTGATGTTCAAAGTGATGAAGAGGATGATGAAGTAAATAACCCCAATGAGTCTGAGTTGTGAAAAAAAAGAAGTATATTTTTTTAGTTACATTATTGGGAATATAATTTAGTACACCATAACCTTGATTTGATGCACATAGAGAAGAATATTTGTAAAAATTTTATCGGGACAATTCTTAATGTTAATAGAAGATCCAAGATGACTTAAATAGTCAGCTTAACTTAGTTGATATGGGGATTCACCCAGACTTTCATCCAAAGTTGCTTCATAATGGTAAATATCGATTGACTGTTGCTTGTTTTAGGATTTTTAAAGCTGAAAAAGATGTGTTTTGCAAGGTTTTGAAAAATGTCAAAGTTTCGGATGGCTATACGTCAAATATATCAAGATGTGTGAATCTGAAAGAGCAAAAACTTTCTTCATTGAAGTCACATGATTATCACATTTTTTGGACTCACTTTTTCTTTATTTTTTCTTAAATTTTTTATTTGTCTTTTTTTAATTTTGTTATATTTAATATTTTTTTAATTGTTGGAACTTGATACTAATTTTTTTTAAAGCAACTTAATTAATAAATAATTTTTTAAATTTCATTTTTTGTGAATGACCGACTCATTTGATATCAAAGAAATGTTACATGTGAAGTCATTTAATTTTTTTTGCTTTTACTTTTAATTTTTTTCCTATTTATAATTTTCTCTTTTTTATTCAATAAATATGTTAAAATTTTTCATTGTTGTGCCATTTAATATTATTATTAAAAATATATTTTTTGCGTTACTTTTTCTCTTTTTATTTGATAATTTTTAAAAATAGATATTAATAGAAATATTAACATCATATCTTGGTTTATTTTTTTTCTTTTCTTTTTTTTTACTTTTTTTAAAAATTCAAAATATAAACCTTTTAAAAAATTTTATTATTATGATATTACGTGCCAACTCAACTTTTTTTTATTTTTTCTTTAACATCAATTTTTTACTTTTTCTTTATTTAATTCTTTTTTAATTGGATCTATTTTAAAAAATAATATATACGTCCTATTTCATATTTTTTTTAATCAGATAATCGATAACAAATGTAATATGTAAATTAATTTTTTAAGAAAATATTAATGAAACTATGGATAATAAAAAAACATATATTTAATGGATTTCAATTCATTCGGATCAAATAAGTGCTTTTTTTTTTTTTGGATTGAATCAAGGTTTTTTCATCCAAAATCAAGGTCGGATAGAAGACGAGTATATGGTGTTCTATGTTGCCTTGATTATATATATTAAATTATATTTTTATATTTAATTATATATATTATATTAATAAAATTATTATTTAATATCTTAATTTAATAAAAATACTATATTTATACATAATGAAGATGTAACCGATTTATATATTATATAAATTAGACTCATTTTAACTTTGTCTAATTCTCATTTGAGGTCTCAACGTATCATATTATATTTTATTCATTTTTTTGTTTTTTAAAACTTTTTTTTACATTTTTATTTTTTTATTTATTAAATTTTGTGAAAAAAAGAATGTAAATGTCCACTTGACATTCTAATTTACTTTTTTCAATTTGTTAATTAGATAAATTTTATAATAAAAGAGTCAATAGATAGGAATGGTAAAACAATATGTACCTAATATATGGTAACTCATTTAGGATGTTCACATAGTACCCAAATAAACTTTCTCTTCCTTTTTTCCTTTTTTTTAATAAAAGTAATTTATAAAAAAATAAAAATGTGTCCATATGGCATTCCATTATGATTTTTTTACCTTTTTTTTGTATTTTTATTAGATAAATTTTGCAGCGAAAAGTGCTAGTTGATAAAGTTGTCAAAATAATTTGTATACGACGGGTTTCGATCCATTTTAATTTGAAAACTAAGACTGAGTTGAGATGAATCGAGATTTTAAAAAAAAAGAGATCAGGTTAGAATCGTGTTTATGGTACTTTGTCGCACCCATTTGGAGGTGTATATAAAAATATATTTTATTATTATTTTGTTTTAAATATATATTTTAGACACCTAATTTTGTTCAGGTCAATTCAAATTTGCTTGATTTTATGCTTGATTTGAATGATTTGATTTAGCCAAGATAAGCGTTTTAATTGGATTGAATTGTTGAGGCTTATCTCAGATTAATTGCTTTGGAATCATTTTATATGTGTTAGCTTTATAGGTGAGATGATAATCCAAAAAAGAGGTGAATTTGATTTCTCAAAATTTTTCTCAAATAATGATTTCAAAGTAATTGAATAGAAAATTAAAAACAATATCAAAATATGATGCAAATAACAATAAATTAATAATCTTAAACCAAATGCATGGTAAAGAGATAGAGATAAAGAAATCAAATACAAGGATTTATAAAGGTTCGATATTTCTCCACAAGGAATCTATATCCTTTCTTCTTGGTTGTCCATAGCAAGCCTTCATTCCACTAATCTTAAATTGAAATTACAATCCTATCTTTTTCTCTCTAAGGCTTAAGATAGAAACTCTAAGACTTAAGATAGAAACCTTACACATTTTACTTACTAGGCTAAGTAGCAACTTCTTAATTCCATAAATTCAAGAGAATACCTCACATCTTGATTACAAAATTACTTAATAAAAATGTAAACTAAAAAAACCTCTCAAAGGCTAAGTGTTTGCCTAATAAAGTACAAAAAAATTTGATTAATGAACAACAACAATGATTTGGATATAATAAATAGAAAGATATAAACTTTAAAGTTTTAAAACTATTGATTTCTTTGAAAGAATGAACATATGACTTGTTTGATCTTTCTTTCTTAATTTAAAAAAAAAGAGGAATAAAAAATGAAATTACGAGAATATATAAAATTGATATAATTTAAAATTTTAATAAAAATTATATATAAATTTAATATTTACTGTGTTTACATAAATATTTGAATGAAAAAAAAAGGACTAACTATTTGAGTGAGAAAAAAAATAGAAAGTAGGATAAAATACAAATAATATTAAAATATTATTTTCCAACCTCTTACTAAGGGGCTTTTTTATATGTCCTGTACATGTAAATTTTTAATAAGATAAATGACATATACCTGATATTTAAATTTTATTTAAACTGTTCTTTTTATGTGTATCATTTTATTTAAATTTATCTTTTACTCAGAGGGCATAACAAATTTTATTTATAAATTTACATTAAAATATGAATTTAAATATCCAAAACAAAAGTAATAAAATTTTTAAATTTACAATTGTTTATACACTTTCATCAATCCAACATGTCGTGAAATGCAAAATGCTTGCTTCTTGTATCTTTTTTGTTTTCTTTTCATATTTAACAATATAGATTTTTTATTTAAAAAAAAAAAAAAAACCAAATAGATTTATTAAGAGAGCAGGTAAAAGGTACAAATGTGAAGTACTAGGTTTCTGTAACAGGTCAGGCCCTAGCTCCAAACCTAACCCTTGCTTTAGGTCTCGGAAACTAAAAGCAAGTGTGAAACAGAGACAAAACACCGTTTCCTAGTATTTTCATCCCTCATTTTTTCACTTCTAGTGTCGTCTGTGGGGGCCATCATCCTTTGAGCACTACCTTTGAAAAAGCTCCTTTCGATCGGGGCGTTACATGGAAGAACCTTCAACGAAGCACCAAAAAAACCTCTTTATAAAGCATGGAGAGGACTTGGAAAACTTAAAGCTTTCAACTGAACTACTCACTCTTAGTGAAAGCTTGTTGTTGTTGCTGAGTCTTCCTCTTCATTTCACTTTTCTTTCACTTGTCTCAAGCATATATCCTCACAAACGTTTGTTTCTCACTGCTTCTCTTAGGAAAAAATGAGTCTATATGATGAGGATGTTGCTTCAGGGAGCAATGGAGTACTAACAGTAGCCAACGGAACGGCCATCTATGATGATCCTCGATCACTGGGATCACTGTCTCTCACGAGGCAAGATTCGTTCATTGTGCAAGAAGTAGAAGAAGAAGTAACAGTCCAAGCTCCCATTATTTCGCAATACAATCACCAAATTCGACCTTTGCTTGATGCCATTGACAGGCTCAGGCTACTAAACGTCATGAAAGAAGGCATACAACTCCCCACAATTGTTGTAGTTGGGGATCAGTCATCAGGGAAGTCTAGTGTTCTTGAATCACTTGCTGGTATTAGTCTTCCTCGAAGTCAGGGTATTTGTACCAGAGTACCCCTCATAATGAGGCTGCAAAGTCATCGAAGTCCAACGCCAGAGCTTCACTTGGAATACAGTGGCAAGCAAGTTCCTGTAGAGGAATCCCACATCGCAGCAGCCATAAATCTTGCAACTGATGAGATTGCAGGCAATGGTAAGGGCATATCCAACACCCCACTTACTTTAGTGGTGAAAAAGGCTGGGGTTCCCGATCTTACCATGGTTGATCTGCCTGGAATAACTAGAGTGCCTGTTCACGGACAGCCTGAAAATATCTATGAGCAGATCAGAGATATTATCATGGAGTACATTACACCCGAGGAAAGCATTATCCTCAATGTTTTGTCTGCAACTGTGGATTTTTCCACCTGTGAATCCATTAGAATGTCACAGATAGTGGACAAGAACGGTGAGAGAACTCTTGCTGTGGTTACCAAGGCTGATAGGGCCCCTGAGGAGCTTCTTGAGAAGGTGAGTGCTGATGATGTTAATATAGGACTTGGTTATGTTTGTGTTAGGAATCGTATTGGTGATGAATCATATGAAGAAGCAAGGAGGGAAGAGGCTAGATTGTTCCAGACTGATCCACATCTGTCTAGGATTGATAAATCAATTGTAGGTGTTCCAGTGTTGGCCCAAAAACTTGTTGAAATTCAGGAAAGAATTATTGCAAGGTGCTTACCTGTGATGGTGAAAACCATTACTGACAAGCTGAATGCAAATGTTTCAGAGCTGGAAAAAATGCCCAAGGTTTTGACCTCTGTTGCAGATGCCCTGACAGCTTTTATGAGGATCATTGGAGCAGCCAAAGAATCCCTCAGGAAACTTCTTTTGAGAGGGGAATTTGATGAATACCCTGATGATCGTACCAAGCATGGTACTGCTCGTTTGGTTGAAATGCTTAACGAGTTCTCTATTGAGCTTCACAACTCTGAGGAAACTGAACCGACAAAAGACTTTTTAGTAGAGGAGATCAAGGTTTTGGAAGATGCTAAAGGAATTGGACTACCAAATTTCCTTCCTCGCAATGCATTCCTTCGTATCCTGCAGAGAAAAGTTGATCACATTTCCATTATGCCCATTGAATTTGCTGAAAAGATTTGGAGCTACATAGATAAAGTGGTGACCTCTGTTTTGACGCGCCACTCTGAAATATATTACCAGCTTAAAGGATCTACAAAGAGAGCAGCTCATAATCTCGTTGAAAAGATGAGAGAGCAGTCCATCAACAGGGTTAAGGAGATCGTGCAGATGGAGAAGCTAACGGATTATACTTGTAATCCTGATTACATGTTGGAGTGGACTAAGCTCATGACTCAACAAGAAAATTTCATCAGGAATGTAAATTCTATTCTAAACCAGTCGTACGGGACTCCTAGGGTGAGTCTTGAAGGTTTTGGGGATATTGAAGTTGAGCATCTCAGGCAGCATCCCAATGTTGTGCAGCAAGCTTTCGACCTGAAGATGAGAATGACTGCATACTGGAAGATTGTTCTGAAAAGGTTGGTTGATTCCATGGCATTGCATTTGCAGTATTCTGTTCATAATCTTGTGAATAATGACATTGAGGAGATTGTGAATGAGATGATGGAGCCAGATGGACGTGGAATTGAAATGATGTTGGTGGAATCTCCTGCAATTTCTGGAAAGCGAGAGAAGCTGAAAAGGAGCATCAAACTGTTGAAGGAGTCCAAAGATGTGGTGGCCAAGATCATGGACAGGATTGCTGGTTATGATGATTAGGTGCTTAGTATCTTAAGGTTTGCTTTCTTTTGTGTTTAATGTGTAATGAACTTATCTAAGTGAAGTTATAATATTTAGTATCTTAAGGTTTGCTTTATTTTGTGTTTAATGTGTGATGAATTTATTTAAGTGAAGTTTATAATATTACCATGCATTATTGCTTTCAATTTATCAAGGATGTTTTTTTTCTGGGAATTCTTACACAACTAAAAAGCAGATAAACTGCAAGAATTTCAATTAGATATGAAAATCCATTAAAAGTAATGCTTGGTGAAAAAAGCAGTGTTCAAGAAATAAGAACTTGAAGCTGAAAAGAGCAACATAATACCAAAAAAATATAAACAATCAAAACAGCAGTTTTATTTATTTATTTTTTTTTATTTCTGACCGTCAAAATAGGCTCACACATGTTCCTATTCCTTTGGTTGTCCGCACTTCACATCAGCCACAATTATTTGGAACAATAAAAAGCATGTTCAGTGTTGTTTCTATGCAATCTCTGGTCCCTTGTATGAATTAGAGTGAAATCACCAATTTAATGTTAGGAAGTAACTAGACTGAAGAATTAGCAGCTTAAAGATGTCAAGCACAGCTACAGTTCGAAATGTATATTCAGTTCACTAATTCAAAGTGCAAGCCCGTCAGGAAATAACAAAATCAATGTCTAAATTTTAAAAGGGAAAACAAAAAACATTGTACATGCTTAAAAATGTAATCACAGAAGAAAAATATGACCAAACTACACAGTGCAAATCAATCTTCCATTTAACCCATATATGCTGCTTTTCATATTCATAGATGCTTTTGGAAAAACAAAGCTTGCAGCAATATGTTGGTAACTTACCTTGCACATTCCTATGTCACAAAAAGTCTAGTTTGATAAAGCAGTTTCTACTCTGGAACCCAAGGTCAGATGACATGAATCATCAGTAACTATCCATGGGTTTATGAAGTTTCCTAGAAGTGAGACAACTAGCAACTCAGTTACTAATACCCCAAACATTTAGTCCTAAGACTTGACTTTATAATTAGTCATCACCCAAATCCTAACGAATCCAATGATATAAATATAAATATATATATATATATATATATATATATATAACTTGTGAAGACAATAATGGAGGATTATGGCTATTAACAAATTTAGTTACTTTCCATTCTAATGAAGAACATCAAATCAGACTAAAAAAAAATGTAATATTTAGCAACATAAATTTTATATTATGTTGCAAATAGTTTTGCTACAAAAGTATTTGCTGCAACTTCTATGCATACTTTTGTTGCCAAAAAGAGTTAATTTGCAATGTCTGTTGCAGTATAAAGCCTTTTTATGTTAAAAAAATATGACGCAAATTGTTAATAAGTGTTACAAATAGTAATGTTGCATTAGCAACAATTTTGAATATATTTTTGCTTCAATATGTATTTTTACTAACTGATTGTAACATAAAACCATTTATGCCGCGAAAAAAGATTATTTTATAATATTTATTTAAATTTCTCCAAAAAATATTATTGCTAAAGAAGAAATTTCTTAATAGCGCGACTTTCTCAAAGAAATCCTTAGATGAACCTTTCATCAACATTTTGTCAGTTCCTTTTTTTTTTTTTCACTGATATTTTTCATCATTGAAAAATTCATTTAAGTCAAAATCTTTTCTGAGTTATTTCTTCATTGAAAAAATTCATTTAAGCCGACTGGAATTTGGATGGTTTGGTGTTTTCACATTGTTTGACAAAAACCATACATGTTTCTTCTTTCTCATTTAATCTCCAAAAGGTGTAAAAATTCCACAGAAATAAATTCTCATATAGTTTTTCAACATTGCCGACAAAAAGTTTGGCATGGCTAGGGGCTTCTTTTGGTTACCAATTAATGCGTTGTACTGACATTATTGTTATTATTTCGTCAGTAATTGTCCTTGTCCGATTGGCCTTTTTGCAACTTGTATTTTTGACTTCCTCATTGCTTTCGTCAAAGGGAGCGGCAAGTTAAACTTTACAACATCATTTATAATCAAATTCATCACCCCTTTTCTCAAGATTTTCTTATGTTTCTTTCTAAAAGCAACAAAAAAAAAGAAAAAGAGAAAGCTACCTTAAAAAAGGCAGATTATGCTGGCTACTTCTCAACCGTTCGACCACTTATTTATGAATTTCGTACGTTGATTTCACACTTTAAAACAGTCACCTACTTTCTCGTGGCCCCAGATCCATCAATGCATGTAATTAAAATTAATATTAAAAGAATAATTTTAACAATTAAAATTAAAACTTAAAAATTTATAATATGATTTTGACTAAAAAATGAAGACAAGTTTTAATATGTGAGGAAAGAGAAAAGTCCTTAATACCATACGTGTGGTCTAAAAATTAATGGGTTTCCAACATTATTCTCGTAAAAAAAATCTTTTTTTTTTTAAATGGTAAATGAAAAAAAAAAACTTTTTTAAAAGAAAATTGAAGTGAAAATATGAAAAATATATTAAAAAAAAGAAGAAGAAAAGAAAAGGAAGAGTTTTTAATTTTGTCTTTCACATGGACAAGCTCTCAAATATTCGTTTCTTTTCTTCTCACCTTCTCTCTCTCTCTTCGCTGCCAACTTTGATTCTCTTTAACCGAAAAACAAAACCCCAACTATTTCTAACATCTTTCTTTTCAGACAAGTCCCAACCATATACTTAACCCCAAATCTTTGTCGGAAAATCTTTCCTTTTCAACCCATACAAAACCATATCATAACAAGCTGAAGCCGACAGATAGGGGAAAAAAAAAAGAAGAAAACCGCAAGATCTTATTGGAAACCCATTTCAAAACCAATCCCAAAAACGCTAATTTGAAGCTTAAAAAATGGCTAGTTGTCCCCAAAACTCAATCGTATACAACGGCAGCCTCTGTGCCTGCCAAATTGGTCACTTTCTCAATCTTACAGCCAACAGCTGCACTACCTATGGCGGAAGTTCAGACATACAAACTGATTCTGGGATTGATTACTATGCGGTGTCGATCCCTGAGACCATTTTTTCATTTGATTCAATTAAGAAGTTTACTCAGTCTCAAGCTGTGTTCTTGGAAGCTACTCTTGTAATGTTGCTTTCTTGGCTCGTGTTTTGCTTCTTCTTAAGGTTTACAAAGCTTGGTGATGGCAGAAATGTTTGGTTTAAGATTAGATGGTGGATTAGTCGCTTGGATGTTTGCTTTGCTACCAGGCATTGGCTGGTTAGTCCTTTCTGTATACTCTGAGAAATGATTTTTTTTATGCATTAGAACACGAAAAGGACACCTTCCCTTTCTAAGATTCGAAACCTGAGATGTCTAAGCTGAAAGTTTCAGGTTCTAACTTTTCATGTCGGTCGCAATAACCGATAAGGTTTCTTTTTTTTTTTTTTTTCCTTTTTTCAATGCTCCAAATCAATTTGGATGTGTCCTTGGTAAGTGGGATTTTTCTTTTGTAGTTAACAAGTATATATATGCGTGACATAGCGTTGCTCAATCTTGTAAGTTGGTTGTGATTTAGATTGTTTTGAGGTGATCTAGGGATTGGTTTCTATTAGCTAATTAAGAAGCCCTCATTAATGTGTTTTATTGGAAAGTATTTAATTTTTGCGTACTTGGAACTGGGTGTGTTATTGTTAAAATTGGTCATTTTGGGTCTTACTTAGGAAGGTTGAAAGACAGCATTGTTGCCCGTGTCTAATGTATATGGCAGTGGTATAAGACAAATTTGAATATTATTAAGGAATGATTCTGATTTCTGAAACTAGAATAAAAGTCTGTTAACATCTGTTAACATGTTATTTCGTAATGAATGAAATTTTCTATACTTTCTTGATGTATAAACATGGTAATGCTTTAATTTGTATCATTCTTTTATTTAGGATGATCAGAAGTTGGTTGTGAAACGGAAAACAGAACTTGGTGGAACTTTCTCGATTGCAAGCTGGATACTTTTCACTGGGTTGTTTGCTGCGTGAGTGAGGATAACTTCCTTTTGTGACTAGCATTTGAATTTCTTGATGCAAACATTTGATTTTCAAATTCTTATGGATGTTTTATTAAGCCCTTTTGACATATGAACGCACATTGACTCATTACCCTCCCCCCTCCATGATTTTTCTTAGGTTGCTTTACCAAATCATAGCAAAGAGAACCATTGAAGTGCATAATGTGAAAGCAACAAATGCACCTGACCTAGCCTTCTTCAGGAATGACATGGAATTTAATATGACCACTGTTTCTAGTATGAGCTGCTCAAACTTGCGACGTCCTACTACCATACTTACCGGAAGTTCTGGCTTCATCATTGGCAAAGTTTTTCCTATTTCAAATTTTCTAAATTTTTCATGTCACAACACAAGCTTGGGACCAACCATAACTCTCAAGTGCAGCAATTGCCAACTCAGTCAAGATTATATGTCCATTTCATGGCAGTTTGTTGATATTCCAAACAGTCCTGCAAGTGCTGTAGGTTTTCAGTTCAATGTAACTGCAAAAGATCATACTAGGAGAGGCCATGTGAGTTTTGTTAGTGGAACACTGAAGAATGGAAGTAATTTTGATAACAGCCCAGTTACATTCAGAGGGGTGGACACAAACATATTGATATTCAATTTATTTCCACGCGTATATCGCAGTGCAAATGATCTGAGGCTAATCCAACCTCTCTTTCATGAATTTGTCCCGGGGTCAATTTTGCGCGAGACCTCTCAGCTCCGGGCATCTCTTGAGAGCACTAATGATGGACAAATCAACACCACATTAAATGTTAACTATCTTTCTTCCTACATCGTTGAGATTGAAAATAAAAATCTAATAGGTGCTGGTGAGTAATTTGCTTTGCCTGTATATTTGTGATTCAGTCTTTCCCCAATTTCATCATCTGCTACCAGATAACTTTATGATATCTCCTAGACATCCATGGCATTCAATGCACAGTATCCTTAATGGAAATTTGGAAACATATTTATAAACTTGAAACCATCTGGTAATAAATACTGCTGGAATCAAAAGTGGAATATCAATCAAGATGTTCCATTCTTAAAGCTCTTGCTGAAGATACATCCCTATTTGGGATCTTTGATCCTTAACAAGTTGGTTCATTTACTGCATGATAGATTTCCATAATAACCAACTTTTCAACTGCCTACAGCTGCGGCTCTTTATGGAGTTTACTGCATATTGTTACCTTTGTTTTTTGTTTTCCTTTTTCTTTCAATGATTGTTTAGTCCTTCTGCTTGCCTTCAGCTGTCTATAGTTGTGATTGTTACAATATCTCCTAGCAATTTCTTGTAGATAACATTGATTAGCTATGTGTTCTTGTGAACATAGGTTACTAGTATCTTTGTCATGCTTGCCACCATATTCCAGGAAAATCTGTTTTATTCTGAAATAATTTCTTTCAAATTTATGGATCATATAGATTCCATTCAAGATGGTCTTCTTCGAGTGAACTGCAAATTTGTTTCGAAGCTTCTTTTTTTATCAGCTTAATCATCAAAGATTGAGATTTGACACTATATTATGATAGTCATTTTTGTCATTATAATTTCTACTGTTCAATTTCTTGGCATCTCATATGGTCATGTCTTGGAGTATGTTGAACGTCTCTTACTTTGTTAAGTGAATTCTTTCTGGGCAGAATTTTATGACAACCAACCTCCTGAAATAAAATGCTTTGGAAACTTAATGTGTTTGATATTTGGGAGGGTTGTAGACTATTTTAGGTGACAGTCTCTGATAGCTCTGTTATTTCTTTAATTATTTTACCAACTTGGCTTACTGGACAGAGTCCTTGATGGGCGCTATTAGTATAAGGTTGTACTTTGATTGAATTGGTTTCTAATTAAGGCTTTCCCATGCTTTGTTCCTTTTTCAATCACTCTTTATTCTAGTCAAGGATGGGGTTGCCTTGCCTTACTCTTTGATTTGTAAATTGTAAAGTAATCTGTTAGCAAGGCGAGCTCAATCATTTGTATTGTTCTAGTTTTTTCAGTTCTTTGTGCATGGTCAATCTTGTTTCCTCTAAAGGTTTGTTCTGGAAAGACCAATATTTGAAAGGAAATGCAGTTGTTTTGATAGGTTGATGATGGTTTGTGGACATTTCTTTGTCACGAGTTTGAAACTTACTAGGTTCAATATGTGGCAATTCCTTGCACCTTGGAATCTTACTCTGGTTATTCATATCTTTATCCCATTGTAGTTTTTGAAAAGAATACCATGCTACTGCTGATAACTTTTAGAAAAAGAATTTTTCAAATTCAAGTCCATGTTTATAGATTTCAGATATTTCTGTGAACTGTAGTTAAGGAATGCATGATAAGTTAGTTACCTCTTTCTGAATGATGCATATTCTTTACTCTTGGAGAATCCTTCGGTTCCAGGGAGCATGATAAGACTTTATGACCTATGAGGATCTGGAAAGTTTTGTTCAATGGAATTACTGTGTATTGTTCCACTTTGATGGAGGGACATACTTCATTACTAATTATCTTAATCAGATGCATAATTTTTTATCTTATTCCTTTACATTTGTCTACCTTTTAGGGACTTGTTTTGTTGTTAATTGAGCAAAATTCTTTGGTCTTTCTTTTCCTTTAAAGTTGGCTTCCTTGTTTCAGTTCTTAGATGAGAATAATAAAAGATTTTGGGCAAGAAAATTTTGCATTTGTCGAATTAGACTTCATCAGGTGCCAAAGCTAACAAAGCAATTACTTCTATATAATTTGAAAGCATGTGGTCTAATGTTGGTTTCTGTTCTATGTATTGCATTATTCTGCAGGATTAATTGAAGTGATATATTAATACAGTATTATTTTGCTCAACTTGCAGTGGGCTTCCTTGCTGATCTTGGTGGGCTATATTGCATTAGTATAGGGATATTTCTCTATCTCTTGGTGCAAGTAATTCCTGACCCTCTTGAATTTATCATTTTGTTCTTTCTTTCTACCTTCACTCTTGGTTTCTTGATAAATTATAAAGATTCAAGTATAGATGATCAAGGACCTTATATTGTCTGGAACTGGTACTGTTAAGTTTTATTTTTACCTTTTTTTTTGGATGAAAGAAAGATGCATTTATTCAGTTTTTCTTTAATTTTAGTGGTTAGCCTATTTTGGTTTGTTCTACTTTTCTAGGTGTAGGCTGCACAATTGTGTTTTGATCATTTAGGTCGTTTTATGTGAAAGTGTGACAACTTTATACAATTTGTAGGTATTCAAAATAAATGGATGTGATCCTATTCCTCTGTTTGTTTGTGCTTTTCTGATTATATGCAATAAAAATAAAGCCATTTTTTAGAGGAGGGAATGGGGGGAACGGTGATACTTTCGAGCAACAAAACCAGGAGTGAAGCCTAGTATTAACTTTACCTTTTCCTTATTATTATTATTTTCAGCCCTTAAAATTGAAATCTAGACCGCTAATCAGACTTGAAGCATTATAAACCCTAGAAAACCGGTTCCACAAAACCAAATCCAACCCACAACAATTGACGATCAAAATCTAGGATTGCACATTTGAGTTAGCATTCACATTCCAAAATGAGTGGTTTGTTTGCTCACTTTTGAATTGTTTGCAGCTTAAGGGTTGAAGCTTTTCTGTTCTAAATTAATAATTATGAGTTATTGTCTGTTACATAACCACATTAAAAAAATTACAAGTTTTTGGCCATTTCATAGCTACTTGTCAAATTAGTGCAACTTCCCATTTTATCTGCTCTTGTTTCTCCATACCACTTGGTCACCTGAGTTCCCCACATTATGGTTTGGCATATGCATGATGTTGTACTTTAGCATAGAGTTTGTAGCCAGTTTTCAAAGTAGTTAATGATATAGCTGGGTTCCTTGTTTTGCTTCCTTCCCGGCTTCTAAGAAAGGAGAAAGAGGGCATGTTTCTTGTTCTTTATTTTTTCTTGAGAAACATAGATGTCTGATAAGATCTACTCTAGCTTTCAGCTAAACTCGCTTTCTCAATATTTGAACATCATGATGACAGAAAAGAAATTATCTAGAACATAGAAACCACATGAGCAATTGTCTAGTTACAGTTTTTCCTGCCAGAAAAGCATCATTAGGTTCTTAAATTAATTCCAGTATGGTAAGAAATTTTGTTTGCTTGAAACAGTCCCTAAGTTTTTAGTTCTTTCATTAGTCTTTTTTCAGATTTAAAAAAAAAAAAAACCTTTTTAATCCAATGAAGTCAATATTCCTAACCTGCTTGGTTTGTAGTGTGAGTACAGAATAAAAAGTCTCCGCAATGAAGATAGCATTTTACGGAAGATTAGAAATAGAAGAAAAGCTCAAGAGCGCTGGGATAAAGTAATTTCTTTCTCATAGGAACATGTACCCTATATTCTTTTAATCTGTCGACTCTTTCTCTCTGATTTAGTTCTTAGTTTAATTGAGCTGACTTAATGTGCTTTTCTTAACCAGTTGAGAAAATATGTCATGTACAAATGGGGTTGCAGCACATTGAATGCTGATAACCACCCTAAAGAGGAATCGGGCTGTGGTCGTTTCATGATTCCATTGGCCCATGGTAATGGATCAATTCGTGGAGGTGGGTCATCGAGGAAACGAAGGGAGCTAAATAATATGGACATAAGTTTTAGCAAGCAAGTCAGCTTACCTAGTGAAAAGGTAGGCTTTATCAATTTCTTTTCCACTGTCTACCTAATTTCACCTTTTCTTCTTTCATTAAATTAGTTAACAAAAATGAAATATTCTTTTCGTTCTTTCTTTCTTGCTGTTTCAATCTCTTCAACTTATCCTACGAAAGTGGCTGGATAATTTTAATTACTTTAATTCTGCATATTGTAGAATGCCACTCTAGAAATGAAACATACTGGAGAAGTAAAATCTTGCATGGCAGGATCTATATCAAGCCCTGAAGGGAGGTTTTATTCAAGAAGTGAACCTGTATGTTATTCTTCTTTCATTTTTTATAACAAGAGCGATACCTGGATCTCCAAGTATTTTGCAAAGTTTCTAAATCCAAACTTTTCCATATATGTTATCTGCAGGCCATCAAACATGAGATACCTGGATCTCCAAAAGACAAGAGAAAACATTGTGATGGTTCAAATGATGCAAATGCTGTCCAGCATCAAGTATTTACTCTTGGTGATGATATAATTCCCCCGCCACCACCACTAGGTAAGAACTAGTTTGTAGTCTTATTAGTATTATTATTATTATTATCATATTTCGCACAAAAAGGCACCGTTGAAGTTAATTGGTGCTGCAGATATCTGTTTTTTTTCCTCATCCCCTAAATCATGTCTTCAGTTTATTCAATCAATGATCATTACAATTTTTGGTGATAAAAAAAAAAATCAAATTTGTGATTTTCAAGTCATAATTAGAATTGTACTTAAATATATGCAGAAGGGTGGAGGGTGCTTTTTGAATTACTTCATTTTTATTACTTGATGGATCTTGAGTCCAAAATGAGACACGATCCTTAGAATTGTACTTATTGCTATCCCATTCTAAATATGCATATTCTTCTGTTATCCAAAGATCCTCCTGTAAGCAGAGCCAATCTTCTACTTTCTTTCTCCTATTTGAGAATTTCAATGAACTTTAGCAGGCTTTATAGTATGGTATCCTGAACAACATCCTGTCTTTGTTTGACATTTGAGGCATGATTTTGATGAGACCATTCATCTCTGACCTTAATATAGTAATAGTTCTTGCTATAAATATGCCATTCCCAAATACCTCAAGGACTAATTAGTGAGAATTTGTAAGCAGGGACATGATGTTTAAAGTAAGATTTTTATTTTGGCCAACAATTAAGATTGTTAGACCCTTAATTGCATTGATTATGCCTTTGTGGTTAAAAGGTTTTGTGTTTACCTAAGAGTATGGTCAGAGGGGCTTTTCATTAGAAAGGCATAAATTGGTTCTAGAACTAATAATTGTAACCGGGAGAGTTTACCTTTGCTTCCTTTTGGAATGCCAGCTCATAGGGCTAACATTGTGACTATGAATTTGCTATTAGTCTTCAAGTTTTCCTTTTGGCTTTTCGTTGGTTAAGTCACAAGAGAACATTGGCTTATCAACAACAAACATAAACTTCATTGCCGGTCTGCGGCTCTGTGCATGTTGGCATTGTGATTTGTTGATTAAATGATAACTAATACATAGAGGTGACTTCTTGTAGCTGAAAACAGCCAGCTGAAAGGTACCATTTAGAAATACAAATGTTAAAACTGTCAGGATTGACGCCATTGTTATTGCACTTTCATCTTATAAGTAATCTTCTTGGAAATGGTGTTCTCCTTCAAACTCCTTGATAGGGATTGGATTAACCTACATATTTTATGTTAAGTTGCTCTTTATAATCCTGCCCTTTACTCAATGCAGAATTGAAGTCTGGTTCGGAGATTGAGTTGTCCGATATACAGAAGAATTTTCAACGTTTATATGACTACAATGTCATGCTCAGAGATGAGTTTGTAGCCACCCAGTCTTTGCTTCGTGCTTTGGACGCTAAGTCCCCATCTCCTAGTACAGAAAGGCTAACATGACATGCTGAATTACCCAATTGAAAGTGCTTCTCCTCTTTGCTGAAAAGTTTATGCGCCATTCATCAGACCTTTTTCCCATCGAAGTAAAAGGGTGATTTAGCCGTGATCCTACATCTTTTCTTTCCGTGTCTCTTCGGGCTTAGCTTATCCTACTCAAGACCACTTCCATGGGGAAAAATGGACTAGGCGAAGTGATTGATTTGGAAAGGACAGCTAGTGGATCCGACAGATCCAAGGAAGAGCTCTCTTAATTGAGTTTGGGGTGACATTGTTGCAGTATGTTGCATTCTTATGGAGCCTAATGCCACAGGAGATGCTCGTTGGAACCATTATACTCGGGTTTCATGTTGTAAGACATAAACCAAGAGGAAAAAATGAGAGGTTTGCTCATCACTTTCAGAAAGGGTTTGAGCTGTAATGAATTGTCACTTCCATATATATATATATATATATATTATTTGTCAATTTAAAAAAGGATTAATATTATGAATGGTTCTTAAGTGAAATATTCAATATGATATTTAAATTTAAAAAATTTTTAATGTGATATATAAACTATAAATTTATTAATTAATGTAGTATTTATCTCTAACATAGTTAGCTACAAATGATGATACAGGTTGAATAAACAATTCTTTCACCCTATGCCCCTCCTCAATTTTCCCCATCCCTATGCCCTGTAGTTCCCAAATGAGCATGACTCCGTAACTTTTATGACATCCTTCATAATCCTCTGTTAAGTAACACAGAAAAAAGTGTAAAGAAAAAATGATAATCTCAGCTATACATGTTATTCTCAAGAATTGCCAATGACTTATTGCTTCAATAGGGGTATCATGAACCGGTAGCCTACACAGTGCCTTAAACAAATGAACAGGAAGAATTTTACCTGTTAGAACTGCCATAATAAATCACTAACAAGAATGGAAAGTCTGCATGAGAAGATGCTGCCACATTTTGAACACCATAATAACTAAATGTCCTAAACCCTAACAGTTAGAATGCAAAGTACATACATTGATGTCTCTGGGCATCGTTCCAAAACCAAATGCTGATCTTCTCATTCACCAATCGATTCATGAGCAAATCTAGCACAACATAATAAAACATCAGTATTAAAAGGTAACTCAGAAAACTCTACAACTCCAAATTCAACTTAAATAATAAACGTATTATGTCTACTTATCTAGTAAAAACAAAAGGCTTGCCCAAATGTATCAGCAAGGCGATGCAGGAGAAGTCGATTATATGAATTCATAGCTTCCAACTCGAAGATCTCATCTGAGCTGCAATCCATCCCTCGAATTTGTCACATGGTGATGGGGGTTATTCAGTTACCTTGTATCATCCTGAAGGAAATTAATGAAAGCGTCTTCCATAGAGATCACTAGATGCTTGCAAGGAAAATTGTCTTTAACTAGACATGCCATTTCCTCCATCTGCAAAATAGTCATATTAGTCCCAATACAGTTGTTATCTTTGATACTTAAATTTTACTTCTGGACTCTCCCCCAGAAAAAAGGCAGAATAACAGTTAAATATGAAAGCACATACCATAATTTGTATTGAAACTTTAAAATTTTAACTTTTGAGGGATAACAAAATGCACTTTTACGTTTATAGCAACTTCAAGCACATAACAAAAAGAAGAAAATAACAAAAACAACAGCCAAACATAGCCTAACAAAGAATCGAAGCATGTTTTGCAGCAATTGAAGTAGCAAAAAAACTTCCACTAAATTAAAAGAAAAGAAAAAATAGAAAATTTTTAATCCACTGAATTTTCAGTAGATAGTTGACTTTTATAGAAAAAATAAATAAAGAAACAAAAATTTCAGCTTAAAGCATTAAAAATCAATAATTATGGATAAAAGCGAAGAAACCGATGATACCCAGGATGCCACGATGGGTTATTATCATGTGTTTCAAACGAGTTATGAGAATTCAAATTAAAAAAAGGCAAAACAACAAAACTATTACACATAATTCAACGCAAAAAAAAAAAAATGAAAAAAGAAAAGCAAAGTCGGTTTGGGAGACAGAAGCTAACCTTAGCGAATTGGGTGACCCTCATGTTTGAATTTTTTTTTAAAAAAAAATTTATGGCAAACGGGATCAGAAATTTAAGGGCGGAAGAGAGAGAATACAGAGAGAATTGTTCAAAAATCCGCGAGAGTAAATTTTTTTAAAAGGTAGTGTTATTTATACCCCTACTTTCTCTCTTCACAACCATTATTATTGATTTTTTTTTTTAACATTTCAAATTAAAATATTAATTTATTAAAAAACTCGAACATCCTCAACAGCCTCTTTCTTTTTCACCAAAAGCTCTAGATCTTTTAGAGATTAAGGCCTAAATCAAACTTTAATCATTCATGCGATGTTAAATAAATTAAAATTATAAATAAATTATTTTTTTATATGTTTTTCGTTTGAGTTTTGTATTTAATTGAAAAAAATTAAAAATTTTTAAGATGACAATTCGAGCATTAATACATTTTTTAAAAATGTTAAAAATTTTTAAAAATAAATTTTTAAAAATTTTTTTAACATATCAAAAATTCATTAATTTTTGAATAACTGTAATAATTTTTAAAAATGAATTTTTATTAGAATTAAAAAATTTTTGAAAATGAATTTATGATATGCTTTATTAGAATTCAAAAATTTATGATATGATAACTGTAATAAACTGAAATGTTATGCTTGGACTAGCATCTGATGGATTCAACCTGTTCAAAATGATGAGTACTTCTTATGGGACTTAGCTAGTTGTATTGATTCCTTACAATTTGTCACCATGGATTGCTATGAAGCAACAGTCATTTATATTGTCTATGATAATTCTTGAAAAAAAAGGTCTGAGTAATGATATAGACATCTACTTACACCCTTTATTAAAGAGTTAAAGTAATTATGGGAAGGTGTTGAGATCTATGATGCATCAAAAAAAGAAAACTTCAATATACGTGATGCTTTATTATGGACTATCAATGATTTTTTTGCTTATGCAAATTTATCTGATTAGAGTACAAAAGATCGTTATACTTGTCCATGTTGTGCTGCACAGACATGTTTGACGTGGTTACCTAATGGTAAAAAGTTATGTTATATGGGATACTGTCGATGGTTAGATGATAATCATCGATTTAGATTTCAAAAATATCTCTTTGATGGAATTGAAAAGTTGAAGAGATCGTCTTTACCCATTGGTGGGTCTAATATCTTGTCAAAGTTAAAAGATATCAATTTCGCTTATGAAAAAATGACTCCATCAAAGAAAAGAGTGAAGGACATCTTTGAAGTTGGTGATAGTCATACACAGAAGTTGGTGATCTTGATGTTCAAAGTGATGAAGAGGATGATGAAGTAAATGACCCCAATGAGTCTGAGTTGTGAAAAAAAAGAAGTATATTTTTTTAGTTACATTATTGAGAATATAATTTAGTACACCATAACCTTGATTTGATGCACATAGAGAAGAATATTTGTAAAAATTTTATCGGGACAATTCTTAATGTTAATAGAAGATCCAAGATGACTTAAATAGTCAGCTTAACTTAGTTGATATGGGGATTCACCCAGACTTTCATCCAAAATTGCTTCATAATGGTAAATATCGATTGACTGTTGCTTGTTTTAGGATTTTTAAAGCTGAAAAAGATGTGTTTTGCAAGGTTTTGAAAAATGTCAAAGTTTCGGATGGCTATACGTCAAATATATCAAGATGTGTGAATCTGAAAGAGCAAAAACTTTCTTCATTGAAGTCACCTGATTATCACATTTTGATGCAAGACTTACTTTCAATTGCTTTATGTTCATCAATGTCAAAGCAAGTTACTTCTGTGGTAATTGAATTGAGTAACATATTTAAATCTCAATGTCATAAATGTATAAATGTAAAAGAGCTTGACAAACTTCAAGATCAAGCCGCGATTACTTTATGCCATTTAAAAAGGATCTTCCCCCCAAACTTTTTCACTATTATGATGTATTTGGTTATCCACCTTTCATATAAAGCAAAAATCGGTGGGTCAGTTTATTATCGATGGATGTATCATATTGAAAGGTATTATTTGTTAATAGATTGATTACATTTTTATTGATGATCAAGTCACTCAACTTAAAATAACATATGACTAATGTTTTATGCTATAGGTTTTTGGAGAGGTTAATGTCTTATTGTCGCAACAAACGCTATCCGAAAGGTTTTATTGCTGAAGGATATTTAGTAGAATAGTGTATGATATTTTGTTCTCGTTATTTGAAAGATGTTAAAACGAGATTTAATAGACCATCGAGAAATGTTGGTATGCAGCATACAGACTCTGCCTATAATTATCTTTTTCAAAGTTTTGGACAACCCATAGGCAAAGTTAAATTAGTGGAGTTGATGATAAATCTTGGGCATAAGCATATCGATATATTTTTTTTCATCATGACTCGATTGAATCGTTTCGCACGTAAGTTTTGTAGCAAGGAAATAATTTATTACATTAAGCATAATTTATTGTCTTTTTTTATTGTTAATACTTTATCATGATGCTTTATAGTGAGTATAGAAATAATTTGAGAGATCCTGCACATTATCGATGATCAAACCCTCAAGAGCTTGATAAGTTGTTCGCTAAAAACTTTTATGAATGGTTAGGAGCAATTGTAAGTAATGCCATACTTCTCATTATGAGAAATCTACATAGAATGGTTACGATATAAATAATATTAATAACATATATATTTATTCCACTTTTATAGGTTTGGAGTGGAAGGCTTGTTAGTGAAAAGGTGAAGTGTCTTTCACACGATTTGAACCAGATTGTGAATTGATACAAAGGTTTTATCATCAATAGATTTAGATTTCACACTAAATCCTGTGAGAGATTTAGAAGTACACAAAATTTAAGAGTTATTGTGACTTCATCAACTACTAGCTATGCTAGTGCTAGTGACACAAAACCTTTTAAAAAGAAATGTTGACTATTATGGCATGATTAATGACATCATTGAGTTAGATTATTATGGCAAGTGAAAAGTTATCTTATTTCGGTGTGATTAGGCTTATGTAAATAGTGCGAAGGGTATTAAGAAATATTAGTATAGATTAACATTGGACAACAACTCATCGATGAACCTTATGTATTTTCATCTTAAGTCAAACAAGTATTTTACTCCGAAGATCTCAAAGAATTGGGTTGGTTTATTGTTATTCAAAACACACTTAGAGACTTCTTTGATATGGGGTTAGATACCAAATATGATGTTGAACATGAAACTAAATGTTATCCTTTTGCTAAATAAAACTTGGATGAAAATATTTCTAGTACCTACATTTAGTGGGTCCGTCAAGATGTTACCGAAGATATTTACGAACCATGAAATGGTGCATCTATAATTTATAATTTGAGTGTTTAAAACATAATGTAGTAAATGA